ACATTTAATTTAAAAACTGTACTTTTGAAGTTAAACAAATGTTCATAATAAATCTCAATAGATTACAAGTTTAAAAAGGCATGGACATTTCTCTTTTTTGTATCAAAAAAATGTTGAACTGTGAGACTAAAGTATTGTATTGAACCGAATAGTGAATTTTCTGTATCATCGCACCCCTAATATATATATATTATTTATTTATTTTGCAATTTTGAGTCCCCCAGTAGTCAAACATTAGATGAAAATTAGTCAAATACTACCTTAACTCGGAAAATTTAGTATCTGATCTGTAAAACCAAAGGAACAGCCTCAGTACTATAAATCCCAATCTGCTGATCTTCTCCTGCTCTGTTTTACTGTCACTCAGGAACCAGATTCTCAGATATGAGAAAAGTTACTCTATGTACTAAGATYGCAAAACTAATTGTAGATCAAACAAATTTTGAAGTTCAGAGGCACCAAATCATAAGATGTTTTAAGCAAAAAAAGATAAAAACAAACCAAAACAGTGTATTCCTGATACCATCAGCCTGTCAGTTTATCTTTCTCCAAATGGTTGTCATCCATTCTGTCACATTTTACATCTGCCGTTTCCAACTGACTCTTAGAAAATGTGAATTAAAGTGGATGTAAAATATGTGTCTCTATGAACAGCAGAGACCATCACCACACAGACACAAACACACGTGTCATCATGCGTTTGAGTTATTTCTAGTTTTGTCATTGAGCTTCTATAAGAGCTCTGATGAAAAAGTTCAAACCAACAGAAGCAGCCTAACCTCTAAGACCAAAGACCTAGATGTGAATAATTTATTAATGAACCACCTCTGGACTTTGAACTCCACAAGGTGATTCATTTATTGCCTTATAAGAGAACAGTCAGTGGGAATTTTTTTCTACAAATCTAAAAAAGACAAGCAAACTTTATTAATGCCAGCAATTCACGTGTCATTTATAAATCAGGTTAAAATTAAACTAAAATAATGGAACAGGAACTTTTGCAGAACTTCACTGACTGCAGTACTTCCTCTAATAGCAGTAACCTTTGTGACAGTTGAGGTTTATAGGCATATCCAAACATTTATGGCCACTTAGGTCATAACAGTTTCTCTGTTTCACCTGGTACTACCAGTCTCACAGCCTCAACCACAGCACGACTTGGAACCATGACAGAGTCATTTGGATCAGAGGAATGGATTTTCTCCTCTGAAGTCATATCTATGACATGCGTCATATGACTTCAGACATCAAATGTTTAGGTCTTCTTYCCATATTCTTTTTTTGTAACTGATAAAGTCTGCAGTAGGTTTAATCACCAATCTCTAATACAACACACTCTAAGATACTAAATAAACAATAATTGGAGGAAAAAAAGGCACAGCCAGTTGCCCATCCCTGGTCTAGATTTTCCTACTTCTGGTTCTTTGAAATAGCCAACACTTRGTCTTAACAGTGTTTATCTCTACATGTGTTTCAGCTCTGCAGTCATTCTGACATCTGGCAAYATTACAATTTGATATTTCATTGTCACAGCGTCATACTAATATAACAAATTTATAAGTACGAGTTTATATTACAGTTATTAAAAAGCAGGATAGCTTCTTCACTAACTCTTCAATARGATCTTTAAGATAGTTTAGAATTTGTCAGTAGCACTTCACGTTTTATTCTGTTTTGTTGTTATTGTATTTGAAAATTACACAAAGTAAAAAAAAATCTGGATAGTTATGAATGGTGCTGGGGTGCCTGATTTAATG